CCAGCTACTTGGGAGGCAGAGGCAGGAGACTCGCTTGAGCCCAGGAGTTGGAGGTTGCTGTGAGCTGTGATGTCACAGCTCTCTACCCAGGGCAACAGTTTGAGGCTCTGTCTCAAAAAATAAATAAATAAATGAAAATGTCTCTGAAATAATGGAACAATAGTAGCCTTGTAAATGCTAGGCGGTAGCCCTGGACCAGGGGTTTACAAACTTTGTGTGTGAAGAACCTGTCAGTAAATGTTTACAGCTTTGCAGGCCACCCATAGTTTATGTCACGTCTCCTTCCTTTTGTCTAATGACCCATTACAAAGTAAAATCTATACTTCACTTGTGGGCTGGATTTGACCCACAGTCTATAGTTTAGCTACTCTTGCCCTAGAACTTAACAGACATTTTTTACTCAACCAGAACTACTTTATATGACAATCTTGCTTAATTAAATGTCATAACAACCTTCCAAGCTAGGCAGTGCTATTCCCCAGTTTTTCCTAAGAGGAGGACTATGAGCCACAGAGGAGACTGGTAACCAGCTCCAGGTGGATTCCAGCTCACATGCTCAGAACCACCATGGTTTTCCTGCTGCCTCCTAAACAAAGAGGTTAAATCCTGCAGCTCACTCTTAAGTACTTACTCTGTGCTGGACACTGACCTGGAAGCTTTCCATCATTATAACTTAAACCCTATGAAGTAATGAACTAAGAAGGATCGTTATCCCCCACGCACACACCGGGAAGCAGAGGGCTCAGGGTCACAGTTAGTACTAAGTGGCAGAGTGAGGCTTAAGGCCAGGTCAGTGATGATTCTAAAGTGTATATCTAAACCATCATGCTACCCGGCCACTCAACAGCAAACAGTGTGAGCTCAGAGAAGGGATGCAGCATTTTTTTTTCTAAAACGTGGAAATATAAAATTAAATTCTGAGGTCTAGGAAACATCTCTATGGAAACCAAATTGGAGATGTGAAGACGGTCAAGTCCCTGGAACCCAACAATGAATCTGTCTCCACTGGTCCACATCCCTACCTGCTCCCTTCCTGCCCGCGCTATGTGGGGGCCTCAGCTCCTGCCAGAGCCCTTTCCTGTGTTCTTGACTCTGAAGCATCCCATATTCAGAGCACTGATTTACCAAACACTCCCCTTCTCCTATTCTCAGATTTGCACTCTCCTACTTTACCATAAACTTAGAAATAAGTTCAAATCCGCCCATTTTTTTCTTTGTCCACTCACCCAGCACCATCTCTCTCCATCATCCAATTCTCTAACCTCCAAAACACACTTCTCAGAGGACAGTCAGGAATATTTCTCCTCATTCTCTCTCCTATCACTCCTCAACAGACCTTAATTTGGCTCCTATTCAAATGAAATAGCTCTTTAAAAGTTCATGAGTGATGCCGTATTGTCAAAAGCAACTTCAGCCCTCTCCTTAGAGAGGTCTCCATTACACTGGGCAGTACCCACTGCTCCTTCCTTTCGGAAACTCTCAGCATAGTAATTGAGTGGGCTCTGGGTCCTGACTGGGTTGGAATTCCAGCTTTGCCCCTTACTTGCTCTCTAACCAATTCATTCAGAATAATAAGTCATGCTCCCTGTCTCCTAGGTCTGAGAACTAAATGACTTAATGACATGTTACAACTTAGGACAGTGTCTAGAACATAATAAATGGCGCCACTGTGATGACACCATTATGACAGTGTTTCTGCTGTTCTCCTCTGCTTTGTTTCCTAGTCAATACTCTCCCTGTCTCTACTCTGACCAACCTTCCTGGTCCCATTCATAGACTTCCCCTCTGCCCACCTCTCAACCACCCCTGCCCAGCAGGTCCACAGGTCCTCTCTCACCAGACTCTCACACCAGCAAAGGAGCCAAGTGTCTGTCCTAAATCTCCAAAATCAGACATGGTAACAACCTCTTGAACATATCCACTCGGAGGCCCTAAGGGACAGAATAGTCCAAAACAGTCCAAAACTGAACTCAACTAAATGATTCCAAACTGGTTTCTTTGCCATGTCTCCCTCATTCCTACCTCCCCAACCCCACAAATCTTCCATGTACTTGGCCAAAATAATCTAACAGTATGACACAACTGACCGTCATTTCCCTGCATTAACTCTCTGATGACATCAAGAGGCCCACGGGGGATTTCTCTGTCCTGAGCCCCAACAGACTGGATACTTTATGTCCCATCAATAGCAGCCTACACACAGCATGACTGACCAGCCCTTTGAGTCTTTCTTCTATTCCCTCTGCAAGGAATACCCTCGCCTCCTCTTTCTATTTCATTTTTTTAAAACTCCTATAATGAGAACTAAAAAGCATCTTTCATAAAGCCTCTGTCGATTTAAAGCTGGGCTCAAAGTTCTCCTTTTCAGTTGCTGTAGGCCCCTGTTAACTATCCCTATCAGCCCTTGTCATATATGGAAACTGCCCATTTGTGACCCCCTTAGTACACGGCAGAAACATTGAGAGCTCAAGAAATGAGAACTCAGCACTGAACTCCGAGCTCCTCTGGGGCAGAGCTGTCTCTCCTTTCTGATGGCATCAGCCCAGGGACCAGCACATCACTGGATAGTCAAGAACCACACGAGCAATTATACTTGGAAAATGAACATGATTTGAACCTTAAGAAAACACAGAGAGAGGGGGGCGCCAGTGGCTCAGTGGGAAGGATGCCAGCCCCATATACTGAGGGTGGCAGGTTCAAACTCAGCCCTGGCCAAACCGCAACAAAAAAATAACAGGGCCTTGTGGTGGACGCCTGTAGTCCCAGCTACTTGGAAGGCTTAAGGAAGAGAATCGCCTAAGCCCAGGGGTGGAGGTTGCTATGGACAAAAAAGTGAGACTCTGTCTCTCCAAAAAAAAAAGAAAGAAAGAAAGAAAGCACAGAGAGGCAACCAACTCAAGATGAAGGCTATTTGAAGAAACTGTCTTTTTAGTACAGCAGCCTTATTCTGTGCATTCCCTGAAGGATTTTTAACTGAACTGCTTAATGACTCTAATAAAGGACAAACACAGCAACTTTCTTCTAGACCGATGCAACAAATCTCCCAGCTTGATCCAATGTAGGCAAATGAAAACATAAAATTTCAATCGATAAATTTCTTGGGTGAGGAAAACAACTACAGTGGTGAAAAGTTCAACTGGAAAGTAGCAAATGCTATTCCCAACCCAGCTGTTTTTCACATTGACTTTTCACATACAATAACAACGGGCAAGGACTCACCTGCAACATACAACTAAGTCCGTAAACCAGGGGACCGTGCTGTGTACAGGAAAGGAAATCTGAGAAGGCCAGCTGCACGGGACTCATGCCGGGGCCGGGGGGGCCAGGGCTGGGGGCCCCAATACTTGAGTTGTTTGGTCCTATCATCATGTGGGGTGAGTGGGCAGCGAGGAGGTTGGGACTGTCGCTCAGCAGCAAGGAGAGGCGCCGGGCACAGAAGTAGGCGAGACGACGAGACAGGTAGGCCGACCGGACAAACTCATCTGAATACTGAGGAGCAGAGGACGCCAGACTTCAGTCATGCCTTGTGCATCTTGGTCAAATCATTATTTTAATGCAGACTTTTTTTGTTGTTATCGTTTGAAACATTTACCAAAAAAAAAATCTTTCGAAGGTATAAACCATGTGCGATCCAATAGAAATATAATGAGAGCCACAGAGATCATTTTAAAGATTCTAATAGGCATTAAAAAGAAACAGACAAAAACTAGAAGACAAATATATTTTATTTAGCTCAATATGCCCAAAATGTTATCATGTCAACCTGCAACCAAGATAAGAAGTATTAATGTTACACATTCTTTTTTCTTACTAAGTCTGCAATCTGGTGTGCATTTTAAACTTAGAGCACACATCACATATACTGGTCACATTTCCAGAGCTTAATAGCCACATCTGACTAGCGGCTGTCATAATGGACAGAGTAGATACAGGACATCTTGGGGAAGATACACAGGACCCCAATGTGGTGCAGTCTCCGGAGTGGGTAGTAGGGTGAGAGGGAGGGAGCACTACCATTCACAGAATGCTCTTTCCTATTGTTTGAATCATCAAATCCAAGTATTACCTAAGAAAGTTTCTTAAATAAATTTCATCCAGATACCATGAATTTTAACAAATCTTAGATTAAATCATCAAAATAAGACGTTTCCTATCCCCCAGGAGCTTAAACAGTTTGCCAAAAGAATTAAAACTCTTCTGTATTCTTAGAAAGACATGGTTTGTTTTCACAGAATTCTGTGTTATCATAGGGAGATGGTATTTTCAAAGCTGACTGCTCAGCTGAGTGACAGGAGAAATCAACGTGGGTGACATCACTTAAAAAGGACAAGTGATTGGTGCAATGATGGGGTACACTGTGCTGGTTTTATGTACAGTTTAGGGTGTTTTCATCGGACTGGTTAACGCGGCCTTCATAGCATTTTCTTGGTGATTGTGTTAAGTCGTTTGCATTCTACCCCTAGTAAATTTCACATGTACCCTTGTAAGATGCACCATAGCAACTTCTTTAAATTGATACTCACTTTATTCTTTTAAATTTGAATCTATCGACAAATGCAGCCAGTGTAACCAGGTTTCTTGTACCCTCAATGAATCCCCAATAATAAAAATAAAAAAACTTTTTGAATCTTAAAAAAAAAAAAGGACAAGTAGGATATAAACTATCCACATGGTTAATACGACTGCTGAACTGACACGGAAGCCTCTTATTACTTCATGAGTTACAGGGTCAAAAATGGGTTTTTCCTTACATTTCATGGAAATTTTTTCTTCTACCTCTACTTACCAGTCATCCTACCAGACTCATTTCTTGCCCATAAAAACAACCGGCCCAAGGTGACGTGTACCGTACCTGCAGCATGAGTGGTAACAAGAGTTTAAGAAGATCATCATCCACTGGTCTGATCTTTTCCAAAACGTCCAGGATCCATGTCAAATATTCATGTTTTTCTAGCATCCCTTCCTTAAATAAAGAAAAATACACTAGCAGTGTTAACAAAAAAAGCAAAAAGGGCGTGGTCATTTTCATGTTTATACATAACTAAGACTGTTTTTATGGTCCTTGTGAAACCTGGTCTCACTGATCATAGCCCAAAATCTAATCAAAACAAAGAACTGGGTGTCTATATACATTTGGGTTTTGTTCTTTTGTTTTTTGAATAATCCACTCTGGATTAAAAAAACATTAATTAAGGAAAGGTTTTAAATGCTTTCACACTTCCAGGGCATGTCACAAGCCCCTGGCTAGATTTCAGGGGGGGGGATATGAATTCAAGGTCATAGAAGGAAACTTGGAAATGGTGATAATTATCGAGTAGAAAAGCCCTGTTCATATTATTATCTCTACAAATAGCCTCTTTCACTAACCTGAGTTTCAGATGCTATATATAGACTATAACCTGAAAAAAAAAATCAATATAATGACCTAATATAAAAAAATAAAAGGACTATATGATAATATATAAACATTCCAACACCAAAACACTAAAAAACAGTAACAGCCCCTGCAATTTCCAAAATGCCCCCCAGGGTGACGTAATCCCTGGTGAGGCCACTAGTTTAGTGATTGAGCATCTGTTCTTTATTGCCCTCACACACTTACACATACGAACACACACAGTCTGCTGTGACATTCTACGCATATAGAGACTTGCTATCATATTACAGCTTTTTATTATGATTCACAGAATGAAAGAATCTTCAACATAGAAACAAAAAAAAAAAGGTTATGATTTCTGAAAAAGGCACTTATACTTTTATGGTGATTCGGGTAATAAACATTAGCAGTTAATGTAAAATTTTATTTTATTTCCAGCAACTTTTATGTCTCACCAGTGGTCCACTACAATGGTTACCCAAGATTCATGTGAAAATATTACGCTGATAAACTACAGTTGCAGTATTTCGAAGATCATAACAACCATGTAGGGATATAACACGATAGAGAGGTATTTACTTGTTGCTAATATCCAGGGGTGTTTTTGTTTATTTTTTGATTTTTGTTTCTGTTTTTTGTTTTTTTGTTTTTGAGACAGAGTCTCACTTTGTTACCCTC